CTACACTCCCACCAGCAGTGGAGCAGGGTTCCTCTTTCCCCACAGCCCTGCCAGCATTTGTTATTGGTTGATTTCATGATAGCACCCATTCTTTCTGGAGTGAGGTAGAATCTCAGCCTTGTTTTCATTTGCATCTCTCAAATGACCAGAAGCACTTAACACTTAATGGCTTTGGAAATCAGCTTTTACTACAGACTTGATAATATTCTTAACAAATTTAACCTAAAACCATAAAACAGAACAGTGGTTATATGAATTATTTATGCTGGAATAAAGTTATTTTGATAACAGTTACATTATTTGAATTACAACCACTGTCATGCTGCTTTAACTCAAGATTTCTACTCCCACCTTTGCAGTAGATAAGTTCTAAGTTCAAGCTACAGTGCAAGAGGTAGTTTTTGAACCTCTAAGCAAATGCAAAGGAAATTTCCATATTTCAGGATTCATTTAACTGTGCCATTAAGGACCTTCCATATAATCTCCATTTAGAAGTGGTTAATTTGTAATATAATGATATGGTAAAAAGCAAAATCAAGAGAAAAATTTGGCTGAATTATATTCTAGTCTATTAATGTCCCAAATAGTGAATAAGCTTAATTAGAACCACAAATATATGTAATTAAAACCACAAGCTCATGAATTGATACCAGGATTTAGTAGTACCTGCTTGTGTGAAAAGACATTTTCAAAACTGAAGTACCATGGGCTGGGGATTTAGCTCAGTGGTTTGGCCGCCTGCTGTACAAGCGCAAGGACCCAAGTTCAATCCCCAGTACCAAAAAAAAAAAAAAATGAAGTACCAGAGCTGGGGATTTAGCTCAGTGGTTCTGGCTCCTGCTTCTCAAGTGCAAGGTCCTGAGTTCGATCCCCAGTACCAAAAAAAAAAAAAAAGGTGCTTCAGAAACCTGCAAAACTGTGGGGAATAGTTTAGGGCTGGGGATTTAGCTCAGTGGTTCCACTGCCTGGCCAGCAAGCACAAGGACCTGAGTTTGATCCCCAGTACCAAAAAAAAACCGAAAAGAACTACAAAAATGAAGTACCTCAAATCTCATCACAAATTAGCATTAACAAATGAATATTTGCAGTTGAACCTGAAAATGAAATCTCATGCTCTTGTGAGCTTATAAATGAGTAAATGAAGTTTGCCTTTGACACTGGTAGTTTATAATAGTTGATAAGAGTTTTCCTTTCTTTGGGACAGGGATTTAGCTCAGTGGTGCTGCACCTGCCTCGAAAGCACAAGGTCCTGAGTTCGATCCCCGGTACCAAAAAAAAAAAAGAATTTTCCATTCTTAGTAGTAGAACTATATTGCCCCCCCACAAAAAAGAACTTTTTTAATTTTATCAAAAAATATACAGAACTTCCTTTTCTCTCATTGTATAAGTGGCCACATATTATACCTTATTTTGCCTGTTGGCCTACAAAGTCAAGAGTATTTACTGTCTAGGCCCGGGGATTTAGCTCAGTGGTTTCATTGCCTACTGCACAAGCGCAAGGACCCGAGTTCGATCCCCGGCACCAAAAAAAAAAAAAAGTATTTACTATCTAACTCTTAACAGAAAAAGTTTGCCAACCCTTGGCTTAAAGTAAAGGACCAGGCATTTGGATCTTAAAGAAAAGGAAAAAGTTCATAAGAGTTATAATAGTAAACATGTTTACCTAACATAGTGTTGGTTATAGGATCTGTTTCTATAAAGATTCACTTAGTAAAAGGGGAAGACTTTTCTCTTGGCAAATAATGTATCCAATATACAGGTAATGACCAGTGAAATATCTGCCTTTTCCTTTTGCAAGCTTTACTAACCTAATCTTAATTCCTGATTTGGCTTATAGAAAACACCAACTGGGCAAGTGGTGAGGATGACCATGTAGTTGCTAGAGCAGAATATGATTTTGCTGCAATGTCTGAAGAAGAAATTTCATTCCGTGCTGGTGATATGCTAAATTTAGCTCTCAAAGGTAACAAATTATGAATTTTTAATATTTGTAAATTTTTAATATTAGAAACTGCAACAAAAGATCTTGCTCATTGTTAATGTTGAGGTAGTTACTAGAATTTCTTTTATGTCAGTTTAAACCTTCCAAATCTAAAGCAGTCAGAGAAACCCCAAGAAAATAATTCCAATAATATTTCACTGAGATAAGGAAAATCTCAGTATAGTCTCTTCTAAACTCAACACACTTGAATTCCAAACTCTGTTAATCCCCACACAAAACCATGAAGTACTAAATGTAGCAAATCAAAGGAATTATTGAGTATCATCTACAGATTCTTATCTGTCCATAACTTTTTTATTATTTGAATAGTATTTACTTCAGGAAGTCCATCATGAATATTTTAAGAATTACTGTCACAGGGCTGGGGATTTAGCTCTGGTTTCGCCACCTGCTGCGCAAGCGCAAGAACCAGAGTTTGATCCCCGGTACCAAAAAAAAAAAAAGAATTACTGTCATGAAGTATTAGAGAACTTTAGAAATTTATGTACATCTCTGGTTTATTTTTGGGCCAGGTCACTAATAGTTTTTAATGGCTTCACACAAAATACCTTTTTCCTTCATCTTTGCCTAGTGAGGATGACAAGGAGTTTGGGACGGTTTTGTTTTTGTTTTTTAAATTTTTGTGGGACTACACAATCATTGCAGAAAGTCACATTTTGTTATCCTGCTCCTGCATTGCACATGAGGAAATTGAGACTCAGGATGACTAAGTTGTCTAGTTTCACAAAGCTAAGATAAGGTAGAACTGAACTGTCAGTCTAGATTTGTTTAACTTCAGAACCTTTTGACTACTTGTGCTGATATTTCCATGGGAATAGCTATTAATGGAAGCTTCAGCCTTTCACTGCTTTTAGTCACTTTACACAGCACAAAAATACCTTGATCACAGGAAAAGTTTGTACTCAAGGAATTTTTTTTTTCCATTACTGGGGTTCAAACTTAGGACCTTGTGCTTGTGAGGGAGTCGTGGTGCCACTGAGCTATCCTTGGCCCTATCATTGGAAAAGTTTGAAGCATACTTCTATGTATTATACTTGTGTCTTCTAATAAATATAACAATTTACTGTTTTGGATCTCAAAAGAATGATTTATTTTTAAGGTTTGTTAGAGACAGGAACACTGATAATTGTTTTCCAGTTAATCTAAATAAAGGATAAAGCCAAAGCCAGGTGTGGTGATGCACACCTGTAATCCCAGCACTCAGGAGACTGAGGCAATGAGTTTTGCCATGAGTTTAAGGCCAGCCTGGGATACATAGTGAGTTCAAGTGCAATCTGAACTATATAGTGACACCCTGTCTCCAAAAAAAAAAAAAAAAAATTTTAATAAAATAAAAATAAATAAAGGATAAAGCCAAGAAGGCTTTCAGTTGCATCATAGTTCAGAATAAAATTTATGTCTCATTATTCTTAAATTAAGAGTGCCTCTTAACACTTTGGCTTTACTTCTTTGCTTTCCTCCTTTGCTTAAGGAAAGTATTTTTGAGCATTTAGAGTAAAATGAATTGTAGACATGGTTAATTTAAATGTCTGACCTCTTTTATTACAGAATATTAAGCATAAGAGTCCTAATTTAAACTGTTGATCTAAAAATTAACAGTTAAGCAGCTTTTTAAAGATATGGATAAAATAGATGGGGAAATGGAATTAAATATACAACTATCGTTAATCTTTCTTACTTTAGGCTTAGAGTATTGCCTTTAACTTTTTGTCGTATAGCTAGAGACAACTAGGGTCTTCAAGATATTGCCCATCTTGAGAATGTAGTCTTTTTTTTTTTGGTACTGGGGATCGAACTCGGGTCCTTGCGCTTGCGCAGTAGGCTTGCCCATCTTGAATTAAAATTAACATCCACTATCTTCAGGAATGTTTATCACAATCATATGGAATGAATTTTACATTGTAACTAAGTATGTAAAGAAAGCTGACTGTGCCAGGCATGATGGCGATGCCTCTAATCCTAGCACTCTGAGAGTCTGAGGCAAGAAAGATGGCAAGTTCAAGACCAGGCTGGGCAATGTAGACTTAGCGAGATCCTATTTAAAAATTTAAATTTAAATTAATTAAAAATTTAAGGGGCCGGGGATTTAGCTCAGTGATTCCACCGCCTGCCTCGCAAGTGCAAGGACCGGAGTTCAATCCTCGGTACCAAAAAACCAAAAAAAAATGTTAAAAAGAAGGGGCCAGGGATTTAGCTCAGTGGTGCCATCTCCTGCCTCGAAAGCACAAGGTCCCGAGTTCGATCTCCAGTACAAAAAAAAAAAATTTAAAAAGGAGCCAGGCATGATGGCGCACACCTGTAATCCCAGCACTGAGACTAAAGCAGGAGGATCTCCAGGAGTTTGAGGCCAGCCTGAACTACATATCAAGACTTGTCTCAAAACAACAACAAACAAAAAAATTTTAAAAGGGTTAAGGAAATAACCAACTGTGGCAGCCCTGGGTTCAGCCACCAGTACCACACACATACACACACACATGCACACATATACACACGCTGCATAAAGGTATACATATATTTAAAAGCCAGGTGCAGTGGTGAGCCTGTAACACCAGCAACTTGGATGGCTGAAGCAGGAGGGAAGGGTTGCTTGAGCCCAGAAGTTCAGGACCAGCCTGGGCAACTTAATAAGACCACGTCTCTTTAAAAAAAATGTTTACATTTATTTTCTATACTTACCCCAACTTATTATTGAGAAGGAATGAAATAGGCCTTTCTTAGATTCCAATTTAAAATATGAAACATTAATTTTAATTTTCAACTTACGAAGGACTGAACTTCCATACCTAATGAATAGACCAACTGATATAAACTTTATGTTCTTCAGGGTATAAAGAAATAAAAAATATAAATTATCAGAATGGATCTGAAGCCAAGCTCAGTGGTACCTATCTGTAATCCCAGCTACTCAGGAGGCTGAGGCAGGATGACCAGTTGAGCCCAGGAATTCAAGAACAACCTGGGTAACAGCAGAATTCATCTCTTCAAAAAAAAAAAAAGGACACAGAACTGTTAGGCTACCCAGCAGTTGATTTTCAATATACCTGTGTTACTACTTGTTCATATATTTTATTATTAAAGTGTTACAGATTTTACATAATATATTTTATCATTAATATTATGGTGGACCTCCAAAGTATGTTACAATTACAAGGCTCTTTTTTTTTCCCCCATCAGAACAACAACCCAAAGTTCGTGGTTGGCTTCTGGCTAGTGTTGATGGTCAAACAACAGGACTTATACCTGCAAATTATGTTAAGATTCTTGGTAAAAGAAGAGGTAGAAAAACAGTGGAAGCAAGTAAAATTTCCAAGCAGCAACAGTCTTTTACCAGCCCAACACTAACTAAAGGAGCCACGGCTGCTGAATCTTTGGATGAACAGGAAGCTGCTTTTGAATCTGTTTTTGTTGAAACTAATAAGGTTCTGGGTGTACCTGATTCTACAGAGAAAAGTGGAGATAAACAAGATCTTTGATATCTTTCATGTTTGTGTGCAGTTGAACAGTATTTTAGAATACTTTAAAAATTATTTCATACAAAGAAATTAATCTACAATTTAGTAAAAACATTTGTTATTGGCTATTCCAGGTGTTTTGCTGCTAGAAATTATTAAAGTTATACATTAATATGTTGGCCTAGTGACCTGGTCACATTTTGCAATGTATTGGACCATGAAAACATTACTTTCACCTAGCTTTTAAGATTATGGAGATTACTATCATTTTCATGGTATTTAAATCCCTTGGTATTGGAAGAGTAATATTTAATATTGATGAACTATATAGAATGCATGGTTTGCTACAGAAGGGATCGTTAATGCTTCTTAAAGTTCTGGATTGACTTAAAACCTTCAGAAATTGGCTGATAACAAAATTTATGGGAAAAAGCAAAAAGACAACATTTTTATAACCTTAAACTGAATAATAAAATTTTTCTGCTCTATATGATGTCCAGTGTTGGGTTTACTTTAGGTAGCAATATTTTTCACCCATGAACATTTAATACTATTATCTTTTATGTTAAAGTTTTATTTTAGGCAGGCTGGGGATTTAGCTTAGTGGTTTCGCCGCCTGCTACACAAGCACAAGAACCCGAGTTCGATCCCCAGTACCAAAAAAAAAGTTTTATTTTAGAACAGTCACTAGAAGCATTGCAAAGGAGATGGTTATAGAATAATAGAGTATAATTCTTTTTCACTTTACAACATGGCTGGTTTTCATCCCGAATGAATCAGAATATATGAAAAATACACTTTTTCTTCCACCCAAGACTCACATCCTTTGGGTTTGCACTTACTAATATGATCAGTTCTAGCAGTAATGATTTTTAATCTTTTCATAGATTTCTCTGCTTCTACCTAATATAATTACTTTTTTAAATTCAATATTCAAGTTGTTCTTTAAACATCACACATGTATCACATTGTATTAACATTTCTTTTAGATTTAATTTACTGAGATTCAAAATACTGACCTATGGTACTTGACTTGCTTTGTGCTTAGTAATAATTTTAAATTCAGCTAAGTTTCAGTACACTGAATACACCCCACAAAATTGGAAGATTCATACACTTTCTGTGGTCATACTGAAGATCTCACTAATATAGTTTACAAAAATACATTTACAGATATTATTGAAAACTGAACTTTTTATAAAGACTGATTTAGTTATTTTTATCTTTCATATAGATTTATGTTTATCAAATAAGTAATTGTAGGAGAGTTCAGGCTAAACTGTATCTGCCCAAATATACACTCAGCATAAAAGAGTATTACTAAAATTCTCTTGGGAAGTCCTTTCTGAAATGGCAATATATCATTTAAAATAAGAATTTTGACCCTATGCATAAAAATAATTACAGTAAAATGTATTTATCTTAGGCCTAATTTTCTAACACCCAGGTATTAACCCTCAAGGTAGTTTCTTGTATTATTACTTTCTATTTGTATTTTGCAATTAAAAGTTCTTAAATCTGTTAAGATTTTATGAAAAGTCTGTTCTTGGAACAAATTTTTGATAACTTACTGTATTTGATCTTGAAACATCTAAATTGAATACTAGAAGTAGAAGGAAAATGTTGAGTCAGCAGTATTTAGTTTTAAAAGGTTGAGTAATTAAGATAGAATTTGTGACTGCTATTAAAGATGTCTGGGCCCGGGAATTTAGCTCAGTGGTGCCATTATCTGCCTCACAAGCGCAAGGTCCTGAGTTCGATCTCCGGTACCAAAAAAAAAAAAAAAATGTCCAGGCAGAAGAATATAGCACAAAATGAAAAAAACAATTCCACTGAAGTGTTTATTATTTGGTTAAGTACACTAAATTACAATATACACTAACTAATAACTATTTGTGGCTGAAAATTCTCTATTAAAATTCTAGAAAAATCAATTTAGGACTAGAATAAACAGACAAATTCTATAGCTTTTTTTATCATGACAGTTTTAATTTTTTAAGATGAAATTAGAAAGGTCAATGATCCAATATTGTTATTTTTAGTAACTTATTTAAGGAGTGCTACTTTACAGAAATTACTAATTGAAACCAAGCATTTTCAATTAAATAAAATAAATCACAGGTTGCAGTAAGAAAACAATTTAATTGTTATTTAACTTTAATTTTTCTGATTGTATTTTATCAGTTTAGAAAAGGTACAAGGACTATAAATTTTCACGTTTTAACGTCTTATTTAGGTACTTGATTTAGTCTGTCAATATATCATAATTATACATTTACTTACATACAATTGTCCTTTATTTTATGCTTGCGTTAATAGAAAAAACAAATTGAATGCAGTTGAATTTTATTTTTAATAGATTGTGAAGTTGCTTTTACTGGAGAAATAAAAATGTTAAACTTGATTGACCTTTTAAAGATAAAATGTTGAACTCTTGCAGGATTGGAATTAATATAGTTTTCATTTTTCTTAATATTGTGTATGTTACCTACTCTAGACCAATATATCTGTTCTGTTTCTTTGTGATTTAAGGAAAAAAGATTAGGCCAGTTGTGGTGGCATACACCTGTAATCCCAGCACTGGGAGAAGTTGAGGAAGGAAGATTGAGAGTTCAAGGCCAACCTGGGCTACATAGTGAGTTCAAGGCTGGCCTGGACTACATAGCAAGACCCTGACTTAGAAACCAAAAGAAAAAAGGAAAAACACAGATTTACATTTATATAAAAATTACCTACAGGTGAGTCAAATATTTATAAGATAAACACTTCTTTTCTGAAAATAATACCTATTTATTCTGAACATCTTATTTATTTGGCTAATTCTTGTGTATTATAATTGTTGCTGCCATTAAAATGATATCACATTATTTCTTTATTAAACAAGGTTTTTTGGCACCCAAAAACATAATTCTCTAAACATTGAAATGTATTTTAATATTTATGTTGTATTTTTCTTTTTTATGCACTACAGTATGAAGAACAAATCACACACACACTTACTCTGGAATAACAAAGACCATAGTATAGATTTAACAAAATCAGTTTTTAAAGTCTCTGTACTATGCTCCTCAAATATCTAGAGTCAGTCTTTGCATAAAATATCACAGCTTTCTCTGTTAACTTAAAATTCTTCAGCAGTCTAGTGATATGGAAGATATACTATCATTTGCTATTTTATTTTTGTTTTTTAGCCCAGGGTGGCCTTGAACACATGGAGATTGTTCTGCCTCCGCCTCCAGAGTGCTGGAACACCATACCCGGTTCTTAAATGTTTTGAAGTTTTATTACAGTGTCTCTAGATGCAAATCTCTGTCTGTCTCTGTCTCTGTGACTTTTTGTCTCTCTGTGTGTGTCTCTCTTTGTGTCTGTGTCTCTCTTTCTCAGATTTCGCTATGCTGCCCAGGCTGGCCTCAAACTCCTGAGCTCAAGTCATCCTCCCACCTTTTCCTCCCAAGTAGCTAGGACCACAGACACATGCCACCATACCCAGCCATCTGTGTGTGTTTATAGATACATTATGGGGGGCAGTGCTAGGGCTCAAACCCAGGGCCCTGCGGATGCTAGGCATGGGCTCTACCCCTGAGCTACACTCCTGGCTCTTCTATTTCATCTTTTAGGTCTTTAAGTATTTCATACATGATTATATCACATAATGATTACTTTTAAAATTCCAATGCATTAACCATAACTTATTCTTATAAATTTTTCTTTTCTTTTCTTTTCTTTTTTTTTTTTT